CTCCCCACCTCCTCCTCGTCCAGGTCCCCCCACCCATGGAGCCCTTTGTCCTGCGGGACCCGCGGCGCCGCGCGCTCTGCCGTGACCTCATGCAGGGGAGCTACGACGCCCTGATGGCCCTGGGTGAGCAGCACCCCCAGCTCAACACCTGGGATGGACGGGACCTTCTAGATCCCCCTTCCTCCCACCCCCCATCTCCTTTGATTTCCCAGAATTCCCAGTTTCCACACCCGATCTCCTCTCCCGCCTGGATTGCGGGGATGAACCAACAGCCCTGGATCTCCAGGTGGCCAAGGACACCCCGACCACAGGTGAGGAGATGCCTCTGCTGGGAATGGAAATGAGGAGGGATCCCTCCTTGCTCCCCCTTTTTCCTCCCACCCCTGGGAGACACGGGATCTCCTGCCTGGATGTGTCTCTGTCCCTCCTTGTGCCCCACAGAGGATGGAGCAGGAGAAGAGCAGGAACCTCCTGGAGAAGAACCTCCTGAAGAAGAACCTCCTGGAGAAGAACCTCCTGGAGAAGAACCTCCTGGAGAAGAAGAACCTCCTGGAGAAGAACCTCCTGGAGAAGAAGAACCTGCAGAACTGGTGAAACCTGAAGGTGAGGAAGATCCTCCCAGCCCCACCAAGGCCACGAGGGGGAGGAAGGTGGGGCTGTGGGACCACCAAGCCCACCCCACCTGCGGCGAGTGCGGGAAGAGCTTCAGCCACAAGTCGGCCCTGGTGAAGCACCAGAAGATCCACAGCGGGGACCGTCCCCACGGCTGCCCCGACTGTGGCAAGACCTTCATCCAACGTTCAGACCTCACCATCCACCAGAGGGTCCACACAGGGGAGAGACCCTACGGGTGCCCCCAGTGCGGGCGCCGCTTCAGCGTCAGCTCCTCCTTGCTCACCCACCAACGGACCCACCAACCTGGTGGGGCAAAACCCAACCCTTGCCTTCAGTGTGGTCGTAGCTTCTCCGACCCAGGAGCTTTGGATCGTCACCAGAAGAGCCATTTGGGTGGGAAACCTTACGAGTGTGGGGTGTGTGGGAAAGCCTTCTCCTGGAGTTCCCACCTGGAGAGACACCGGCGCATCCACACGGGAGAGAAACCCTTCCAGTGCTCCCAGTGTGGTCGGGCTTTTGCTTGGAGCTCCCACCTTGACCGACACATGAGGACCCACCTCGCCACCTCGGAGGATGAGGAGGATGAAGAGGACAAGGAAGAGCCTCCCCCACCCCCCCAGAAATGCCCTGACTGTGGCAAACGCCTCAACCACCAGACGGACCCTCAACGCTTCAAGCACCAAGGGACCCAAACGCCACCAGTTGGTGCCAAACCCACCCCCCCCAACCCCACCCCGCCATCCCACCGCTGCCAGAAACCTGGCAAAGGTCCCAACCAAACCTCCAACCTCCAACACCAACATCTCCACGCTGGGGAGAGGTCCTACCCTTGCCCGGATGGTCAACGTTGCTTCCGGTTGGGTTCGGCTTTGGCCAAACGCCAACGCGCCCATGGCTGGGGGGAAGAGGTTGGTGGTCCCACCAAGAGGGAAGAAGGAGGAGGTGGTGGAGGAGGTGGTGGAGGAGGTGGAGGAGGTGGTGGAGGAGGTGGAGGAGGAGGTGGAGGAGGTGATGGAGGAGGTGGAAAACCTTACCCATGCGGCGCGTGCGGGAAGAGCTTCGGTTGGATCTCCCACTTGGAACGTCACCGCCGGGTCCACACGGGGGAGAAACCTTTTGGCTGTGGGGAATGTGGCCGTTCCTTCTCAGTCAGGTCCCACCTGGAACGTCACCGCCGGGTCCACACGGGGGAAAAACCTTTCCTGTGTGGGGAATGTGGCCGCTCCTTCGCCGTCGGCTCCACCTTGGCCGCCCATCGCCGCCTCCACGCGCCTCAACCGGGACGTCCCCACCCTTGCCCCGAGTGCCACAAAAACTTCAGCACCTCGGCCACCCTGGAGAGACACCGACGCCTTCACCGAGGGGAAAAGCCTTTCCAGTGTGGGCTCTGTGGGAAAGGCTTCTCCTGGAGTTCCCACTACGACCGGCACAGACTCACCCACACCGGGGAGAAGCCGTTTCCCTGCGCCCACTGCGGGAAACGCTTCGGGCGCAGCTCCCACCGCAACCGGCACCAACGGGCCCATTCCCAAGCTCCTGGAGTTGGGATGGAGGGCTTGGAGAAGCATCAACTTTGCCCCCAAGGTGACAAAGCCACCACCTCCTTGTTGACCCACCCACCAACCCATTCCCAAGCTCCTGGAGTTGGGATGGAGGGCTTGGAGAAACGTCCTCTTTGCCCCCAAGGTGGCAAAGCCACCACCTCCTTGTTGACCCACCAAGGGGCCCATTCCCAAGCTCCTGGAGTTGGGATGGAGGGCTTGGAGAAGCACCCTCTTAGTCCCCAAGGTGGCAAAGCCACCACCTCCTTGTTGACCCACCCACCAACCCATTCCCAAGCTCCTGGAGTTGGGCTGGAGGGCTTGGCGACACGTCCTCTTTGCCCCCAGGGATGGAGGGCTTGGAGAAACGTCCTCTTTGCCCCCAAGGTGGCAAAGCCACCACCTCCTTGTTGACCCACCAACGGACCCATTCCCAAGCTCCTGGAGTTGGGATGGAGGGCTTGGAGAAGCATCAACTTTGCCCCCAAGGTGACAAAGCCACCACCTCCTTGTTGACCCACCCACCAACCCATTCCCAAGCTCCTGGAGTTGGGATGGAGGTGTTGGAGAAGCACCCTCTTTGTCCCCAGGGTGGCAAAGCCACCTCCTTGTTGACCCACCCACCAACCCATTCCCAAGCTCCTGGAGTTGGGATGGAGGGCTTGGAGAAGCATCAACTTTGCCCCCAAGGTGGCAAAGCCACCTCCTTGGTGGCCTCAGGTTGGCAGGGTGGAACATCCAACCCCTCCAAGCTCTGGCCTGAAGGGCCTGGATCTGTTTTCCACCCTGTGCCTTCCTCCTCCTCCTCCTCCTCCTCTTCCTCTTCTGAAGCCCCTCAACGTTGGGTCAAGGCCTTGGTGGCCTCTCCCACCACGACGTGGAGACCTGGAGAAGGGGAGAACTTCCCTCCAAGTGATTCTTCTTCAGCCCCCCAAGAGCCTTGGGCTTCTCTGCCTCCCCCCAGCTCCTGATTTGGGGACACACCCTGGGAATGTTGGGATGGGGGGAAAGGGGGGTAAAACCAGTGGGTGGGATTTGGGGAGAAACTGGGGGTGGATTTTTCTGGGGGGAACTGGATTTAGGGTGGAGGGGACATGATGCTTCTCCCTAGAACCTTCCTCATCCTCCATCCTGGTTTTTGGGGGGGTCACAGAGGTGGGGGGGGGGGG